AAGAGCAGCGCATTAACTATTAGGTGTGCTAGTAAGTGGATTTGACTGTCTTTGGACAGAGCCAGGCTGTTGTGTTGTTTGATGGTATGTGACATTGAACTTGTGGTGGAGAAAAATGAATCAGACTTACATAAACTAGACGTTTCGAAAACTTACTGTAAAAATACTCCTGGCTTGTTGATTGTGATTTGCTGGTTTTGTTCATCTTTTCAGCTGCTGATGATCCCACTGATTATGTCTGTGTTGTACATCTGGGCTCAGTTCAACAAAGACACCGTGGTGTCCTTCTGGTTTGGAACGCAGTTTAAGGTACGCCCATCAAATGTTGAATGCTCTATCTTCTTGTCAGGTTCACGTTTCACAGAAATATCAGAAAGGATAAAATACACATAGTTCCACCAATGACGTAACTGTGACGGCTTATGCTAACTCAGCATTAAAATAATTCCAGGATTTTTATGAACACAATTTTCTGCTGCTTTGTTCTAGGCTCATTATCTACCTTGGGTCATTCTGGCTTTCAACTTTATCATCGGAGGATCGTAAGTAACAAATTTAGATCAAAGCCTTTAAATCTGTATTCCAGTCTGGGGAATAACTTGTACTAACTGTGTAATGGTGTTCCTGTGAGTAATCTTCCTCTCTTCCTCTCTTTGTTCTTGTGCAGATTTGTGAATGAACTGACAGGAAACCTGGTGGGCCATCTCTACTTCTTCCTCATGTTCAAATACCCCATGGACCTGGGAGGACGCGCCTTCCTCTCCACGCCAGAGTTCTTGTACGTTTGCGTGCATGCGCAGCATTTCAGAAGCGCCGTTTTAGTGTTTAAGTGTTATCACTGCATTTACTGAAGTGCACTTTGCTTTAAAACAACACTATGGAGCTTTTTATTAACACATCGCCTGTCACAATCCAGAGATTAAACTCTCATTTATCTCAGTACACTTGGAGAATCTGCTGCTTTAGCCTTACTTTGTGAGAAGACTGAGTAGTTGTGGCTCTTACAGCAAATGTGAATTCCTGCCTAATGAGTCAGTTTCACAGTTTACTTCTTTGCAACTCTAAGACTGTTTTATCAGTTAATGTCATGTTGTAATTGTCACTGGTGGCCACACTGATAACTAACAGGCAAAGTTATATAGTCTTTTCAAACCAGCAGCACAAGGGGTAACCACAACTGTAATGACATGGGGTTTGAAAGTGTTTGTTGCTCGTCCTTGCAAGGTGCAATCATGAAGTCATCTGTGGTTTTGGGTCTTTAGAAGAGCTGCACTGCTTCTAGCAAGGCTCCCATATTTAGATCACTCTCTGAAGGTCCTAATCTGACCATGTGAAAGTGAGCATGACTCAGAGACACTGAAGGAGATTCAGTCATGCACACATGGAAATGGCCAGACTGTCACAGAATGATTCAAATGCAGCAGTGGTGTTGGAAACATTGCTGCACTGCCTGAGGAGATGACCATGAAGGGGAGAGTGGCCCTGTTTAAATTGGGTACTGTTTATTTTTAATGATAGGGTTACATTTCCACAATTATCAAACCCTCTGTTGCTCGGTTAAAATTTCAAACACAAACTGATATCTAGAGTGTCTTTTAAAAGTGTTGATTTTGCCTCTGGTTTCCCGTCCAATCACTTAGTTGAGTCAAATGTTTGAAAATTTATTTCCCAGTGGAGGGGCTGAGGGTCTGCCACAGAATCATGTCACAACAAAGTCAAGGCAGACAACAAATTATCAAAAAAAACGATAACACAGATATGTTTGTGTGGTTTAGCTATGGGTACTTCTGTCACATTTAAAATTTATAATGCTAATTCTTCTCACCAAAACCAAACAGATTTTGTTGCTTGATTGAGTTCAGAGATCACATTTTAACATCTCTCTGCAGGTACCGGTTCTTTCCTAACAGGAGGGGAGGGGTGTCCGGATTTGGAGTCCCTCCGACCAGGAGGCAAGCTCCCCAGGACAATGCAGGGGGACTCGGAGGACGTCACAACTGGGGGCAAGGTTTCCGACTTGGGGGCGAATGAGAGAGAACTGCACTCTCTCAGCTGCCAGAAGAGCTGGGCAGCTGTTCTCAGATTTAAACGCTTGTTTCATTGAATTTGTTCTTGTTGAATCTTGAGACTTTAAATTTAATTCATGGTTAACTTTAGAAGATGCAACAGGATCAAATTTGAGAAGGCACGCATTTCACTGCCCTGCACAGCAGGACCCGGACTCTGGCTGTAGGCTCTGTCCACTAAGTAAAGTCAGCTCTACTTTTACTACTGGAAATGTGTCCATTTTAGGAAGTTAGAAAATTAAATTGTTCTCTCTTTTTTTTTGTTTTGGTGATTATTCTTGACTGCCACGTCTATTTTCTTCTTTCTTTCTCATCTTCTTCTTACCATCCCTCTTCCGGCTTTCTAACCCACCCTGCCATTGGACTGTCAAGATGAGAGATGTTGCAGCTGCACACCAGCACGCTGTGGATTTCAACTCTTGTGTTCCTCCCCCTCCTCCTCTCACTCTCTGTGATGCCATATCAGATTACATTGTAATTACCAATGCACTGGGAGCGTGCTCCCAGCAGTCCCCTCAGCAGAACATGGGCAAAGCTATTTAGAGAGCACTGTCTCCAGGTCTGATTCTACATTGGTGTGAAATGTTTGTGAGCCTCTGTGGCACAGACCTGGATCTTTTACTGATTTCATCTGGAAAAAAAAAATGAGGTAAAGATAGGATCCTGCTCTTTTTTTTGTAAATATAACAATTGTTTATTGAAAGGATGAGTGAGTCAGTGTGTCATTGTCTTACTTATACAGGAGACAACCATTCAGCCAATCAGGTGCCAACAAGACATATTGGAAATCACCTTAATATAATAAAACACACATTTAGCACTCATTGTCAATATTTATCCATCTGGATATTAACTTGGAAATCATTTGTTCCCTAAATATCAGGAAATAGTCGGGGGAAGCAAAGTAACGTTTACAACTGCCACAAGTAGTAAAGTCAAAACTCTTTGTGCAAAAGTCTTGAATTCCTGATTTCTTTATATGTTGCTAGAAAAGTGGGTGCAGTGATTTATTATAATGTGCAAACATACATGGACATGCAGTATTTAAGGCCAAAAAAAAAGAGAGTAGTTGTACAGAATAGACTTCAGGGATGGTTCTTCAGACTTCTTGAAAGGATGTTGAGGTGCGGGCTCTGGGGAGGCCAGTCCATAACTGATGGTGTTCCATTGTGTGACTTTCTACCCAGGTATGATTTTACTGCATTTGTAAGTGTTTTTGTGATCGTTATGCTGAAAATGGAGTGATTGCCAATCAGATGCTTTCCATATTCTGTTACATGAGGATCAACGTATGTTTCTGTGTCCATCAATTCTGACAATATCTCCAAAAGCACTGGCTGATGTGCAGCTGCACCCCGTGACAGAGCCTCCACCGTCCTTTACAGATGGCTGTACACACCCACTGTTTTACCTCTCTCCATCATGGCAATGAACAGTTTGAACCAGCAATTCATTTCAAATTTGGATTCATCTCTCCATAGGAACCGTTGCCACAGATTTTCAGTTCATTTTTTGCGTAAGTCTGCATCTCTCTACCTCGTTTGTTTCCCTTCCCTATGAATGGCTTTTTGACAGCCATCCTTCCACTGAGAACATTTCTGATGAGGTTTCAGTGAACAGTAGATGGATCAACTTAGGCATGGTGAATACATGGTGCTAGGACCAGCACCAAAACCTCATCCCAACTCTGTAGCATGGTGGAGAGAGTACATTTTGTGGCTGCTGGCCTGGAACATTTGCGATTGCCAAGTGAAACAATTCAAAGTTTTGCCAGGAAATGTTACAGAAGACTATCAGAGCAGCAGTCAATCAACTGAAGCTACAACAGAATGGTTAAACAGGGGAAAAAACCTGATCTTGATTTAAATTCTGTGGTATGACTTGATGAGGGTTCTTCAGTCAAAACACTCCAGAAATATTGAAGTGAAACAGGTGTGGGTGGGGTTCTTCTAAATTCCTTCGCATCTTTGTTCACAAGCTACAGCTACAGACAGTGATTGCCCAGTTCATTTCAATGCAAACCCCCTACAGTCAGGCTGTGTTTGCAATTGTGACTTAGATGAAGATTAGACCACATTTTATGAGCACTGAATGCAGAAATTCTGTTAATGCCAAACCTTCACAAAAGGTCCTAAAACACTTTTCTTGAAACTTTGTAGTAAGTCCTGTGGTCACTGTGCATTGCAGTATTTTATATTCCTACTTGTTTTGAGCAAAAGTGTTACATACTTAAGTAGGTGAGCATCCTCAAGTAGTCTTCTTAAACCTGGATTTGAAGAAAGGCTTTTAAATTTGGTGTGTGTCATTTACACTGGAAGACCAAGGGAAGACTTTACAGTTGGTTGTGTTTTTATTGAGTTACAGCAGACTGTAAGTAGAAAATGAAAATACAAGCTGTATTTCATACTAGCAAAAAAGAAAAAAAAAAAACAAAAACAAAATTACAGTATCCCAGATACATAACTGAAAGTGAAACTAAAGCAGTAGCAGCAGCAACAGACATTCAGCCAGCGCACAGCCATACACCTGCTGTTAAACCGAGGGTTAACTGAACTTTCTTTGACTGCACAAATATTTAATATTTATTATTAAATATTTATTCCTTTTAATCATTCCTGAAAATGAGTACGAAAAAAAAGTTGAAGTACATGCAAGTATTTCATGACAGCTTTGGGTGCTGTGACATTCCAAATGTCTGTCTGTACAGAAATCAGCTGAACCCGATCTGGCTTTGATCAGAAGAACCTACGTAATCACCAGCGGCGTGCTCACAGATCACAGCTGAGCAAAGTGGATACCTGACACGGCTCAAGTAAAGGAGCTTTGATTATTGTGTGCCATGCATTAAAAGGTTTTCAAAAATATGCTTTTGGCGTTTTCAGGCAAGTTTTTAAAAACACTGGACCGCTAAGCTGAAATCCTCAGCCCGGCTGTGCTCTGCCCACTTCTGAGGCCGACGGGAAACGTCTGATAAGAGAGCTGAAAAGGCAGCACGGTGCGATCGAACAGACACTCCGCCCTCCGCTCGGTGGAGTTAATCAGGAACGTGAACATTCTGTACTGTTTCAGTGTCTTGGACATGCCTCGGGTTCTGACGCAGGAGCGAGCCGATGAGGAAAGATAACAGAGTTTAGGATGTACGGAGCGTTCATGCATCCACCCTAATGCGGTTAGTCTTGGTCTGTGGCTGTTTGTGTTCATTCTCTGGTCTCTCAGCGGTGAAGCTGTAGCTGTGTTCAGTTTGCCCAAAAGAAAAAACAAAAAAATACCATCACTCCTTCTACTTCCTTCGCTCTGACACTTGTGAGTGATTTCCATCTTCTCTACTGTAATTCTACAGAGGGCGAGTTAAGGTGCAGAAACAAGCAAAAAGTTACAAAAGTTCCTAACAGTTTTCATTCAGGCGGTCATGACAATATCTATCACTACCACAGGGAAATATGCAAGTGCCATCAAAGTCTACTCATAATGAGTAGTGATTTTCAAAAAATACGTCTGATCTTCAGCAAATGACAGACTATATCATACAGTTTGATCTCAAAGAACAGAACCAAACTGAACATTCCAGGTTTTTGGGACAACAATCAGCCTTTTTTTTTAAAAAAAAAAAAAAAAAAAAGTCTTCTCAGGAAAACTGTACAAACTCTAGTAATACAGAAAATATTTACAGGGCTCTTTTTTTTCTTAAAAAACAAAACAAACAAAAAACAAAGAGAGCGAGCACTGTAGTAAGAGCAATGCATCAAGTCCAGCTTTGGCACTCCTCTAAATGTCAGGGTCTACGCTTCCATCAAGTGCTTTAATGGTGCAACTCCACAGTCCCCCAGGATGTTGGGATGACATCACAGGCAGACAATGACATCACTGCTTCCATGTTTGGTCATCTCAGGTCGTCGGTGACTCAGCAGTCAGTGATGTACTGTAGAGAACCAGAGACAAAGCCTGAATCAATACTTGGGTTACAGTTCTTCCTTTCGTGTTCAAATTAAATGTGTTTCATCTGCTTCCCCAGACTAGAATTCAATATTTTTATGACAGTTTGCTGTTGTGGACATACAGTAGAAACAGGAATTTATTGTCATCTGCTCCCTTTGTGACTGTAATGATTTGTGTGTGAACATGTAGTCCATCTCCATGCTAATTGATGGTGTCTGCTATCTTTGTGAAGGACCAATCAGAGGTAATTGCACACTAATAACTTCCTGGGTAGCTGGAGGCTGCAGCTGTGGCCTCTTAAAAAAGGAGCAGTTCACCATTTATTTAAGCCAAGCTTCACTTGGCATGAATAAATCTCTTAGCACTATCCATGTTTCCTATAGGATGGTTTCAGAGGACTGGAACATATCCCAGCATGAGTGAGAGGCAGTGAGACACCATGAAACCTATGTGGCAGACTTTGAAGGTGCAATGCTTTCACACATCAGTCTTCTGTTTTTACTGCAACAGATTTAAGCTCACACTGCTAAGAAATAAAAAAGGGCCGTTTCACCCAGTTCAACTCACCATCAACCAGTGACCCTCCCCGGTTGCTCCAAGGTCAGAATGTCCGTGTCAGTTGCCAACCTTTGTCTTTCCGCTCCTCCTTCACCATCCTCCCCCACAGCCAAGGTCACCTTTACCCACCTGGCAAGAAAGCAGACTGAAAGTTTGAACACAAACAGACTGCTTCTGGGAACTGGAAATAAAGAAAAGACTTTCTCTTTAAGCTTTGCACTGATGTTTCTAAGAAATGCAGCATAAACCCTTCATGAAAATCAGTAGCTCGGCACCCACAGCTTAGAGCGTCCATATGATGCGGTACTTCTGGACTGCTCTTGGAAAGGCATCTTAAAATAACTCCTCAGATAGGAGTTTAAAATAAATAATCAAATACTGGCAGCAAGTTTCTTCTTCTTTTTTTTTTGTTCTGCCTAACATGACTCTGACAATAGAAGATAAAAGACTTTCTTTGCCTCTTCTTCACTCACCTTCCTTTTTCAGTGGCATTTGAGCTGTTCTGGTCCGGCCTGGTCCGGCTCAGGTCGGTCACACCATCTGCCAGTCTGTCTGTCAACCGCTGGACTTTGTCCTGCTCTGGCTGTTTGGACTGTTCTGGAGTAGATACTTTCTCAACAGCCTCGTCCACTGAACACAGAGATGTAGAATTTGGAAAATGAGCAAAAGAAGCACCAAAACAAGCCAAAGAGTTTCAGACTCTTTCAGAAAAAATGACACTACTCTATGTTCTCCTCCAAAACTTACCTTTTACAGCCTTGATTTCCAAGGAAATGCACTTGTTCTTCTCAGAACTCTGACCGTTCTGTTCCTGGCTTGCTTTCTGCTTCTCTGCAACGCCTTGGAAACCTTCCATCCAGTCGAGAGTTTCGCCGTTCTTCAGTGCAGAGCGGTGGTCCTTGAACCAGCGTACAATGTCAGTGCGTCCAAGACTTGTTTGCACCTCCAGCTGACTGTACTGCTCAGGAGATGGCCACTGGGTCCGGTAAAACGTCTGTCAAGGCAAGCAACAAAGATATACGTGGAATTCAAAAATTACAAAGCAAAAACAAGTTAAACAATTAGCAACAAAATAACTTGTCATACAAATATTAACAATTGGCTTATGGATTATTAAAATCTGGAATGCAGTGTTATACATTAAATGACAGACAAATGACATGTAAAAATGTGTAAAGAGTACCAATAACCAACCAAAACTAACTACAAAAGCCAACTTAAAAATGCTCACCTGAAAGGAACACATAAATATATTTTATGTATTTTATAACATTATCCAAAATAAAGCGTTCAAAATGACAATGTATTTGTTCCACCCTGGATAACACATGCAGTGCTGGCACACAGGAAATGATGTCAATATCAATCGCAGTATGTCCTTTGCCGATTAGTCACATGGCCTTTTCCAGCAGAAAAAGGCAGCAGCCTTGACAAGCAGTGGTGAAATCAGCGGGTTACATGTGCAAGGAGCTCTTTTGTACTCCTCACCTCCTCTACAGGACATCACCACTTGGATGACAGTCAATCAGCTCAGTATCAGTGGCAATAAAAGTAAAGTTATTCTTACCAAAAGATCAAAAAGCCTCACTTTCCAGAATAAAACCTTTTGTTATCTCTAGTGGATGATTGTCACTCTAATCCCACATGAGTAACGTCTCGTGCTCAGCTTACTTCCACCTTTGTAACATTTCTAGACTTCGCCCCTTTCTTTTTTTCTCAAACACAGCATACAAGCCTTGGTTCATAGTCCAGTCACCTCATTTGGATTATTCTAATTGCATTCTTTCTGAGGAGTTCTTTTCTGGGACACCAATTGGCTCCAGATGGTAGAGATCTCTGCAACAAGTCTACGGACCATATTACGTCCACCCAGCTCACTCGCTCCCTATTTCTTGGAACTTGTTACGATAGCACCTTCGTCAGCTTGACTCCTCGACAGAGTTCAAATATCAGCTGAAATCCCATTTGGTTCATTTACATATGATCCTGTTTTAGATGTTCTATATGTTTAATATTTTTGTTATCCTGACCTTTCAACACTGTTCTTGTTGCTTTGTGTTGTAAGTTGACCGAGTGTTTTGAAAGGTGCACACAAATAAAATTTATTATCCTTTATTTTTATTATTGCAAATGCCAGCATTTACAGCAGGCATGTGCAGTGTGCGTTAATGGTTATGCAACATGTTATTAGGAGTTTTAATGTGGAAGATTATATGTGAACAAAGTGCTAAAAATATATGCATGTTATGTGTGAAAATTTTTCTGTTCCAAATTTGCAGAGTACGTGAAACTCTTCTATTATCTTGCTGTGAGTTACAGAGTCAATCATGTAGATTTTTTCTATATGATAACCGTCCACAATGTTTCACTTCTTTAACATCTCACCAATTTGAAATACCTTTCCCTAAAATTAGGTTTACATTAGTTCATGTTTATACTCTGTTGCCTATTCTAACACTCTGCTATGTAATCAGCATAAATGGAAACGTGTCTTTATCAACTCTTACCTCCCTGAGGAGGGCGAGGGAGCGGCTGCTGATGGGAGCTGGGCTCGTGGAGGCTGACAGGATGGGAGGATGTGGAGAAGAGGAGCAAGATGACGTGAGGATTGGAGGCGATGCAGATGAGGGATGGGTCGGAGGCCGAGGGGAGGAAGCGGCAAGCACAGGGGGGGAGGAAGATGAGGAGGAGGAAAGGACAGGCGGATGCGGAGAGGAGCGGAGAGGCTTCCCGTCCTGCTCTCGATGAGAAGCCCCATTAAGCAGCGCACCCGGCCGCTCTATTCTGTCCTCCGTGTTCTTAGAAGCCATCGTGAGTAAAGTCTTCTCCATATTGTCCCTCAGTGCCCTGCGCTCCGAAAACCAGCAGTCAACCTCTGTCTTGGACAGCCTGGTGTCCTGGGCCAGCTGGTCTGCAGGAGAACAACAGGAGTTCAATAGCTCACACAGTTTTATTTATTTAAGTTCTTTTTTTTTTAAAAACCTTGGAATTTGGTCTGTCTCTGGGGGTCTTAAAAAATGGCCTCATTAAAAATATTCCGGCTATTCCTGCCAACCAGGCACCCACCAGAGATGAGCCCGTAGCTCCTCTGGGGTGGAAGGGAATTAAGTCGCATGCTGTGAACTAGTAAAGACTGAAGAAAATATTACTTTTTTTTTTATGCGTTGTGGTTAGCAACAACGACAGTGTCCGCTTGCTTATGTACCACATAAACCTTTCACAATAAAGCTCAGGATCCTGTTGAGACTTTTCAAAATAAACTCAATCACGTGAAAGAGCAGATTATTTACGGATGAGAAGTAGAAAAGAGCTGGCAGGTGCTAGAAAATAAACCTTAGACTCAAACGTTAGAACAGGCTTTTCCCCGCAGCACGCCGTGTAAAACATACTCAAAGAAAACAGCGGCTGTTACAAATTATGTCTAAAAATGTATCGTTTCATGCATCGGTTAAAACACTCGACTCCAGCTACATGACGCGCAGCTGGAAACACTTCCCGCAAGACGAGCTGCCCGAGATTCACAGAATTTACAGAAAATGTTACATTTTTGTGATTTATATCGTTATCGGGACGATAGAATTCTTATATCGGGATATGAGATTTTGGTCATATCGCACAGCCCTATGACAGATGTCTCCACCTGTAGCTGGTGTTACGTATAACATGACAGTTTGCTTCCTGTTTCATATACATGAGCAGGACACTTGCCAACACTTTCCTGAAGAAACACGTTTGTATCATTTTTGCTACATCCAGCTTTTCTGTGCAACCACTGGAGTTCATCATTACAAACTAGGGGTGTTGCAAGGCAGTGGGTTTTCTGGGCTTGGGCTTATTGTGATATACGTCACTGATGTTTGTGCAGTACTGCCTGGCAAAATTTAAACGACAAGGCTAATGTAAAACACTCCAACTTGACCCACAGCCTTATTTTTTTATTTTTATTTTTTAAATACTTTTTCCTATCATGCACACAACTATTCCCCCCTGTGAGAGAGACTTTGCTGCAGGCTTTACCTAGCTCTGCCTCTGTTGGAGAGCTACTCTTCTGGAAACTCTCCTCCAGCGCCTTCAGCTGCTCCGATGACTTCCCCTTCACCCTCTCTAACAGTGGAAACTGGCTGGGGACCGCTTTCTTTACTGGTGCATCCTTAGGAAGTGGTGTTACCTCTGCTTTGACCAGCACAGGTGGAGGAGGAACACCTTCAAGTACGACAGAAAGAAATATTTACGGACCAAAACATGCTAGGATATTCTTCTAACACAACACATGTGAATATTATTTCTGGATGATACAGCACAATACCTAGAAACTATCCTTAAAGGCCAGCTTTAGAGTATAATTTTCTAATTATGGTGATCTAGCCATTGAAATCCACCTTTTAGTACTAAATGTACTTGTTGCACATAGAGAAAAATGTAGTTCTCTTGCCAAAAAGAGGCAATTTGTAATAATTTGTCTGTTAGCAGATTAGTATCCAGTCTTCAAAGATATAATTTTCAAATTTTGTAGAATATTAGATAATAACAGAATTTCAAGCTAATTTAATTTAGGTGAAAATCAGGTCACAGTCACACCAAATCAAAAAATGAAATCAGACACTGCAAAATAAAGATATAATCTTATAATTTTTTATTGCTTATAAAGATAATAAAATACACTATTTTAGTAGGCAATGCTTCAAGCTCATGACGGGTCATATGAATTAGGAAAAAGAATTAGTTTCCACTGGATCATCTCCAAACTTTAAAGCAATGTATTAGTCACTGGAGGACATAAGCACTCTGTTTGAGCTCTTTAAAACATCCCCCCCTACAATATTCTGACTTCACAATGACTGAAAAAGATTAAAATACTTAAATGTTGACATGAGCACAAATAATCTATGAAAACAATACAGAGGTCAATATTAGGGATTCCCAAAAAACAGACTGACGTCAGTATGTTGTAATAAAAACCTCATAAAACACGAGTTTTAGTATAGCGTTTGCCATTCAGTGCTCTTGTTTTTCACATGTTTCCTTATTGCAGCACTAAATACGTCACATACCTTTGAGATTGAGGAGTCTTTGCTCACTGAACCACTTCTTTATCTCTCCTCTGGATAACCCGGTGGTCTCTATCAGCCTGTAAATCTACCACATGACAAGATACATCAAAGTAATAACTACAGTAATTTTCCCCTCAACTGCATGTTTGGAAATGGACATGTACACAGCAGGGATACAGGATATGGAAAGACCAAAGAGGACTACCTCTTCCCCACATCCATGAATCTTCCCAGAAAAGATTCATGGTTGTAGTGAAGGAGGACATGGAGGGTTGGTGTGACTGATCAGGATGCTATGGATAAGTCAGATAGATCCACTGTGGCAACAACTAAAAGGAGCAGCCAAAAGAAGAAGAAAAAAAACAAAACATAAAAGAACCACCTGGGTGTTTGGGGAAAAAAAACACAACTAAAAAATACAAGCAGTGATACCTATCATGGTAGCACATAAAACTTTTCTCACTCGCTTATTCTTACCTCATCTTCCTCAGGGAAAGGGCACTGTGTGTAGCTGGACCTCAGCACAGACAGCTGCTCTGATGTTTTATTGGGGTCAACGGTGAAACTCAGCACTTTAGGTGATGCCAGCTTGGATGTGGCCATCGGGGCAGAGATGGTCTGAATGATGGAGGGCCGTTTACTCTCTGTAGCAACCGTAGGAGAGGCTAAGGGTCGTTTGAGCGACTGCGCCACCTGCAGTAATCATGAAAGAAGATTTTACATGCTCAAAGCTAAGGCAAGTTAAAACAGTTTGGTCAAAGGCAAACTTTACCCCTCCCCTGCTTCTGCTGCCTTAAAGACTGCCATTTTCCACCTAGAGTTTTGTACCTGGTTAGCCACTGTGAGTGCCAGTGGTGCACAAGTAACAGTAGAGCCATTGGCTACAGGAGTCAGCACAAGGCTGGTCTGTCCCAGGAGCTGACAGGGCAGGGACTGCAGGACAGAGGCTGTTGGCTGCATGGGTTTGGAGGGCGTGCTTGAGGTGGACTGGTTGGTAGATGATTGGGAGTTGAGCTGAGGAGTAACCACGGTGAAAGTCTGAGGCACGGAGGATATTGTACCATTGAACATTTTCTTCCTCGCTTCTTCCACCTGTCATTGAAAAACAGACATGTTATACATGTCCCGCAACCTGATTGGTACATTTAGTGACTGTAAATTAAATACAATTATTATTTATATTACTATGTTTTGTTTTTATGTTTATTGTGAAAAACCGGGACACAGCTAAAAAAATAAACACAATTCTCCTACCTCCTCAGGTGACCAGCTGATACCCTGTTTGAGCCGCTGTGTGGTGAACCAGACTTTGATCTGCTCCTCTGGATGTTTTGATGCTGCGGTGAGCCACGAGAGCTCAGCCTGTGTTGGGTAGGGGAACTTGTTGAAGGACGAGATCAGCGTCAGGTTGTCGTCCAGTGTGGGGTTGTATTTGGTTGTGTTGAGGGGCACTGCAATCTTCGGCACCTAAAAAAACAAAGAAAGAAAAAAAATGTGTAATGCAACAATCAGATGCACTCCTAAGAGTAAGTACTTGGTGACAGTGGGAAGGAAAAAAAACTATTTTAACAGGAAGAAACCTGCAGAAAACTTAATTCGCCATGTAAGCTTTTCGCTTTTATGGACTGCAGATGAAGATCGTGTTTTTTGTATGACTAGCTATGCAATGATAAACTGCACAAAATAAACACTTATCCAAATATCACAAAACTAACTGGGTTATTGAGTGCATGGTTGTAACAAAGCATTAACAGCAAAATCTGCCAACTTTTGTATGGTTATAGCAATATCGCTCTAACAACCATCTACTAAATATGGAGCTAAACCCAAGAATTAGAGTTAGCATAGTTAGCACAAATTCTTTAGGAGAAAAAGCTAGCCAGGCTACTAAGCTAACAAATAATTATGTTACATCTTGTATAATTTAAAACAATGACTTTATTTTTTTTTTTTTAAAAATGCTTCAAAATAAAGGTTTTAAATGTGAACAGAATGAAGTTAGTTGTTTCCACTCATGTCCAGCTAAGCTAAGCTAATTCCTGCTTACTGTTCCTCCACTTTTTCCTACCTGGGTATAGTTTAGAGGCCGCTGCAGGGAAGGCATGATGTGAGAAAGGCCGTCTGCTTTAAGGAGAGTTGACTCCGGGATGATGACCGTACCATTCACATTGACAGCTGTGATTGGTTTCTTGGTGAGATCCGCAGTTATTTTTCCCAACTGGGAGTCTGTCCGTTTGTTATCCGATGTCATTATTTTTGGTTTACCGATTTTGACTGTGGTGGGTTTGCTCAGTGGCACAGTGCCGAGTTCGTCCCCTTTGCCGGAAATGGCACCAGAAGTGTTGTAAATGACAGCGTTGTTGCTGCACCCCTCTATCGTCTGTTCTAAGATTGTCTGGTTGTTCATTTTTATGCGTTTAAATTTAAAGTTGCTCTCCCCTGGGTGGCACCTCTCATTGTGTTCCGTCAGGGTGTCAAACTTTTTTGTGTTGAAGTTACAGACAGCACACAGGTACAGGGGGTTAAGGATGACATTTGGGTGGTTTGCGTCTACATGTTCTTTGAAAGTATTCAAATTCTGGGTAGAAAAGGGGCAGTATTTGCACTCATATCCCCCCTGCTGTCTGCGCTGAGGCTTAGAAACGTCTGGTGGCTCAGCTGCTGGTTTGTCAGGAGCCAAAGGTGGGTCAGAGGCCTTTTCCATTACATCCAAGTCCATGGATTGCTCGGGTTGTGTTGAACTGCTATCCATAGGCACCCCTTGGGTATGGTTCTCTGTTGTTGTCTGGCAGGAGAAGGTACAACAGAATTACATTTTTAAATCTGGATGTATCAATTTATCATCTGAATCATGCCCACTGAACTCCAAACAAATCTAATTCTTCCTCCCAACAATTATTCAAATATGGATTACTAAAAGTAATTCAACTAAGCGCACCAAAAAAATAAATAAGACTCAAATTCAATCAGATTTTCAGAGATGGAAATCGCTACCTTTGTCCCTAATTGGTCGGATCAATGCTGTAAAGATAAACATTTTGCCTCGATTGTTATTTCTGTTTCAGAGTATTCCTATATTTTTACCTAAAGCTTTTTTCAAAAAGTTAGACCAGCTAGTTACATCGTTTTTGTGGGGAGGGAAACATCCCAGGGTGAGGAAATCATTATTACAGAGACTGGCATTTGATGGTGGTCTTGCCTTGCCTAACTTTTTATTTTACTATTGGTCCTCTCATATTCACAAATTGACCCATTGGCTTGAATCTCAAGAACTGCTGTGGTGCAAACTGGAGCGCCTGTCGTGCACTTCCTCATCCCTAGAAGCTTTATTGTTCTCTCCACTACCACTTAAGCCTTCTCACTTCACCCAAAATCCCGTGGTACAGTCTAGTCTAAGGATCTGGTCACAATTCAGGAGTCATTTTAAGTATATCTCTGCATCAGTACACATGCCCATCACCAGTGTTGGGGAGTAACGGAATACATGTACCGCCGTTACGTATTTAAAATACAAAATATGAGTAACTGTATTCCGTTA